TCGTATGAGCAGATCTTATTAGTTGTATTTGAATTTCTTTTTACAACTTAATTAGTTCTTTTTTTGTAATAAACCAGTACAATGTATTAAGGGTAAATTTCAAACAACCCCGAAAAAGTTCGGGACATTTTGAGATAATCCCCGAGAAGGTTTCGAAAATTAGACACAATATCCAAAAACTTTTCCTGCAAAATTCCCAAGACTAACACTGTTCAACACTAACGTCTCACATGCTGTGCGTGTGTGACCAAAATACCCCCGAAAAAGATCCCCTTATAATTTTTTTAATGAGATTTTTTGCATACACACGTCCAAATCTTACAAATGTTTTTTTTATAACTTTGCATGGAAAAATGGGGCTCACAAAAGTAAAACCTGGATTTTGTCAAATACAGTGTTTGATTGATATTTTTCGTACTAGGGATATGAGTGCCGCGGCGTAGGATAGATTTATCAAATGTGATCCGATCCACAAAAATTCTATTGATTTCAATTGCATTTGTAATTTCACTTAAATTTCCTTAACAAAGCATAGTCAGATATTCTTAATAAAAGTATGAGCTGCTAAAAATATCGGTTGAATTTTGTTCTTCGTACAATTTTTTGAAGGAGAAAAGCAGGGCAATGTGTATATACTGAGATATGTACACCATAGGAGACACCAAAAAGAGAAAACTAAAACGGCTATGTATAAGAGGAAATAAAAGCTACCATAGTTTGTATCCCAGAGGGTGGAGAGCGGACTGTTGTTGGCATCCATCGGAGCAAGAATATAATATATGCTATCTCCTATTTTATTACACACAGTTCAGTTAGTTTCTCGAAATAAAGCGCCAACAGTAGCATCATTCAACATCCAATCATCCAATTTGTTACACCTATAAAAACTTATTCTGATAAAAAAAAAACAAGCTGATGGTTTTCCTGATCAGTTAAGTCGCGTGAGCAGACAATGAAGCTCCCTCCCCATCGCCAACATCGTCGAAGTCATTGATATTGTGTATGGACATTGTTTGCTTAATCCTTTCAGTCAAATTATTCTTTTGACCTCCTGTCCAAAAAATCAAAAAAATTGACACAATTAGATATAATTTTAGAGGGCTCTATTTTTACTCCATTGAAGATGAAATTATCTCTCGCTCCCCATATACACCAACAAACTGTAGGTACGATAATATTCCATAGCGTTGTCGACGATGATGGTTGAAAGAAGTTCCCCTTGTTGTGAATTAAAGATGATAAAGACTGATGATTGGGATGTAGACCCATTTTGTTGCAGAAGAATATCCATACCGTACGAGCAATTGGACATGAAAAGACAAGTGTTAAGTTGTTTCCTCCTCGTTAGAGCATAAATCACATATGGTAGAACCATCCCATCCTTTTTCGCTAAAAAAGCCTTTGTTGTAGTCTCGCTTTGATTAAAAGCCAGTAGAAAAATTTTACCTTCGAAGGCAAAATAGATTTCCAGATTAAGCTTTGAAGGGGGCATAAAACTCCTTTATAATTGAGGAATTTACATAGGGAGTGAACTGTGAATTTTCCTTCGTTGGTTAGTAACCAAGTAGGATGATCATCATAGTCCATCAGTTGTAAAATTGCAAGAGAGGACAGAAGGAGTGCCTTAGCCTATCGAAGAGCGGGAGATCACGTTCTTCTAAGTAGCGCTTGCCATAACCAAGCTCCTGCTCAAAAAGACCCTTGCATTTTAGTCAGAGAATTTGAAGACCAGACTAGTTCATGCAATGAGGGGTAAAGACTCCCAAGGGAGTTATGGCCAGACCATTTTATCTTCCCAAATTGTCTTCATACAAATCCTCTTCATATCCATGACAAACAATAAGACTGAGAATAGCTTTTTCATAACCTCTTATGTACGTACAACAAAATCCTTGAAGATGCAATCCACAAACCAAACAACCTGCTAGTAAGATGACATTAGTTTTCTGCGCAATTAGTTATTCATGATAGAGATGGACGATGTTTTTTATATTTTTGTTACATTCTTATTGGTAATTAATCGTGACGAGCCATGGCAGAACATTCCGACACGATTCAAGGAGTCGAGTGGACTATGGGAGCAAGATGAGCTGAGCCTTGAAGATCCAAAAGGCCGATTATGGACCATTAAGCTCCGTCGTAAAAAGGGAAGGCCGGGAAATTCACTACGGTGTACCATGTCTAAAGGTTGGCTAGAGTTTGCTCGCGCTAACAAGTTGAAGGATGGAGATAGATGCATCTTCAAATTAGTGTCTCAAGGCGAAGGAAAGGAAAATGTTATGCAAGTGAAAGTACTCAAGAAGTGTATATTTGACGCATGAAACAATCTCTTGCTAAACATAAGTGTAACATGTATCTATCTGTACTTAGTTTCAATGTTTGTTCATATAAGTCTCCTGATGTACCTAGAGGTGCCGGGAGTCCGGAACCGCTAGTTGAATACTTGAAAGGTCTGGAACTTATCATGTCGGTGTTATAAATTTATACTCTAATATGTCATTCAAGCTGTTTTTTTTGTTCCAATAGCTTTTTAAAACCCACTTAAAATAGGTGATCAATGGCAGAGCTACATAGTGTCCAGTGGTGTCACCAGTGGTGTCACTTGACAACACTATATATCCTATTTTATACACACTTTTATGCATTTTTTAACTTGTATTTGTTACTTTGGGACACCATAGAAATTAGGATAGGACATCACTAATAGGGCCAAATTTGTAAAGTTATTAATATAGGTCCAAAACAACAATCATAAGCTATATGATGACCCCACTGATACAAAATCCTAGCTCCACCAATATAGGTGATTAATACATAAATGTGTGCACACTAGTACATAACATACGGTTGTTATTGAAAAGGTAGATTTTGTATCATTTTTGACCGAAAATAGAAATCCAAACATACGGTCATTCTCACTTCTCATTCCTTCCTACCAAACACACCTTCTTTTTTGAAGTTAGAATGTTCATTCCCACTTCTCATCAATTCCCACTTTATGTGGGAATGAGCATTCCCAATAAAATGATAGGGAATGAGCATTCACACTTAAATGAGAACCAATAAAATATACAATTTTAAAATACATTCATTCCCACTTTATTTTATAAATTACACCCAAACGTGAGAATGAAAATGACTATTCCAATCTCACATTAATTCCATTCCATTCCTTCCTTCATTCCATTCTCATTTGAGTCCATTCCCGCGTACCAAACGAGACGTAAATTCACCGTTATATTGGGAAATTTTCACAAAACCCTCATCCAACAATCGAGTTTCCTATGAAAGCTCCTGATCTTTGTAAATTCCACTAAACACAAATGAATATTTTCTAGTAAAACATCCAATTCAACACTGTCTTTTTTTTTCTCTCCATGAAACTTGCCAAGGACTAGGCAGTCTTGTTAGGGCTGCAAACTAGATCAGATTACAAAAATGCAGAAAGAAATAGAGAATAATAATCAATAAAACTGCCAACAAATAAAACTGCCGCACCCAATAAAATAGGGTTTTATTCATGTTATATGTCTTCATTTAAAAAAGAGTCTTTTATTGACTTAAAAATAAAATAGAAGGTTAAAAAATAATATTTACCAAAAGTTAATTGCACTACTGTTTCCTATTTTTTCACTAAATGGCCCTACTTGTAAGATCGTTGCACTTAAATGTCATATAGTATTTTCTATTGAAAAATATTGATGTCATTATATATTTCTCATAAAGATGAAAATACCCCCTCCCCAATGCTATAAAAGTATAAATGAGGGGATTATTTACAATTTAGACAATAGAAGAAAACACCCCAGTTCCTCATCTTCTCCAAAATTACTATGCCCTAACGAGCTTTAGCGACTTGAGATCTCAATTAATTTGGATAGAACATTGACTCAATTCAAATTAGAGGAAGGGAAATTTGTGCAATTTGCCTAGAATTTATGGCTAGAGTTTCATCTCTAAGATAAATTTCTCAAATCCTTGTCTCCTCCCCCCCCCCCCCACCCCCACCCCCCCCCCAAAAAAAAAAAGAAGAAAAATGCTTGATGGTTATGGCTGGAATATTTTTTACTTTCTTTCATGTTTCCTTGCATTGAATTGCAGGAGCTGACAAGGGCAAAGTTTTCAGCTTTTAGGTTTCATTTTGGAGAGGAGGCAAAGAATATCCGATTTAGAAGCACAAAATAATGCGAACTCGTGAATGTGACATAGGCCAATAAATTGCCTACGACTTACCCATTGGCACTGATAATTTTGTGAGAGCACAAAAATAACTTTTGCCCCCCCCCCCCCCCCCTCTTTCTCTATGAAGTCAGGGTCAAGGTTAGAGATTTAATTGATAAACTGGCGCGGTATGTGGAAGTGGGAAAGAGAGGAACATGACCTTGAGAGTGGACGTATGAAGTCAGGGTCAAGGTTAGAGATTTAATTGATAGCTGGCGCGCGGGGACGTGGAAGTGAGAAAAAGGGAAACATGACTTGAGAGTGGACGTATGAAGTCAGGGTCAAGTTTAGAGATTTAATTGATAGCTGGCGCGCGGGGACGTGGAAGTGAGAAAAAGGGGAACATGACTTGAGAGTCGATGTAGAAGTGGGAAAGAGAGGAACATGACTTGAGAGGAATAGAGAGAAGATTGAAATTAATAAGAGACAATTAAATGTAAATGCTTACCTATTTTCAAGAAGAAGATGTTGGAGGGTCTAGAGAGATTCACATGCTTTAATTGTGATGCAGAGATAGACTTTGGCAGTTTTATGTTTTTTTTTTTTGGTCAATGAAGAATTTTATTCATTTATCAAAATGAGAAATTTATGTACATCTAGATACTCAAAACTGAGAAAAACTAAAAAACAAAACCAATCCAAACATAGGATGAAGAACCAACTATCTACATGAACTTGACTTCATAGAGAGAGAAACCATTCCTTCTTTTCGGCTGGAAAAGAGCTGTTAAAGATGATAGTCAAAATATCAATTTTAATCTCTCTGATAATTTGATCAATATTTCTGATTTTCTGCTTGGAAATTCTAGCGTTGCGCTCCCTCCATAAGCTATACATGGTTGTTGATAGAGCCATTCTCTTCACTCTTTGCTTGAAGCCTTTCCTCTTTAACCTGAAGCTGTACCAATCCAACAATAGATTCCAATCACAAGCCCTCCAACTAAATTGAAGCTCTTCCAAACTCCATTTGAGAAACTGCGTTAAAAAAACATGTGATTACGGGTTTCCAAACCTGCACCATCACATAAAGAACATTGGCCAGTCTGAATAATCCCTCTCCTGAGCAGTCTATCTCGTGTAAGAAGCCTATTTTGCACAGCTAACCACAAGATAAAGCAGTGCTTAGGGTAGCTCAAGTTTTCCCAGACTGTGTCAAACCACGACACTTTGTTAGTCGCTGGGGATATTGCTGAATACAACTCGGAGAGATGTACTTTTGAATTATTGTACATGAGCTGATACATTGCTTCAAATTTTCAAATCTTCAAAATTTCAAATTTTCAAGGCAGTTTTATGCCTTGAAAAGCAAGAAGGAAATTAAAAGTTGAAAGAGATGAAAGAGGGAGGGGAGATTGTATATATGTAGCATTGCCTAGGTGAGTGAAACGTGTCCAAAAATTGGAGACAGGTTGTTACTTTATTAGTATGGTATTGATTAATTAGAAATTAAATTATTTTAACAATTAAGGTTTAATATTACAGAGGTTTTTTTTGTCTTTTTATAGTGACCATTAACACCGCTAAGGGGGTCCACTATGAAAGTGATGGGGGATGCACAACATGTAAATGTGGGATTGTCACGAGTCAAATATAGATACAGATGAATTATCGATGTTTGGCAAAAATCCAAAAATAATCAACTTTAATTTATTTTTACTAATATAATTTGAGTTAATCTAGATTAGAAAACTGTTATGACAAATTATTAGAAATATACTAATATTAATCACAAGAAAACATGCAAAAAATATCAAAAAGACAAATACACGTGAATATATATGGTTCGGCTTATAGCTTACGTCCACGAGTGAAGGAAAAAATAGCTTCGTATGTTTTTTTTTCTTTTTCCATGTGTTGTTATAATTTGGTGAGTATCATTGGGTGATGGTTATAATGAATATCTATTTGTTAGTCTAAGTGTGTAGATTCAAAGCTGGAATCAAGAAAAGAAGCAAAACGAAGAAAACAGTCAGGACGAGCCACGGGCGGTCGATCGCAAACGTGCACGAGCTACAGGTGTGCCTCTGGATTTCTCGCGGTCGACCACGACTGGTTCGGCGGGCGACCGCCAAAACCCTGTAGAGATTTCTGATCTATGTCGTTTTCACGCTCGGCGGTCGATCGCGCCTGGCTCGGCCTTTCCTAATCTGTTTCTGAATCTGTTTTGGCTGAGATTCCTATATATATTCAACACGTTTTTAGGGCTTTGTGAGATACAAAAAAGAAGAGTTTTGAGAGAGATCTCAGAGAGATCAACCCTTGTTTTTAGAGCTTGTATTCCTACTTCAATTAATCAAAGAAATTGTGTGGTGTAGCTCCCGAGGACGTAGGCACGTTGCCGAACCTCGTTAAATCTGTGTGTTCGTCTCCTTTACTTTTTCTTACAAGTTTTGATCTTTATTTGTGGTGAATTTCTTTCTTGCTAAACTTTCTAACAAGGTCCAGAAGGGCAAGGGTTCGATTTGATTATTTTAAATCCCTAACATCTGGTATCAGAGCTTCGTTCTGCAATTTGTAGGAAAGCTATGGCAGAGGAAAGCAAATCAAAGATCGAGAAGTTTGACGAATTAGACTTTGCCTACTGGAAGTCGCAGATGGAGGACTATCTGTACCAGAAGGACTTATATCGCCCGTTGATGGGCAAGACTGTGACGCCCCAGGGTTCACGCAAGGCTGCAGTCCAAGGTGAAATCCAGATTGTCAAACCTGCCAAGAACCAAACACTATGCTACAACATATTTCACCATCATAGTCACTATCTCTCTAGTGGAAACAACAAACCAGTGAAGATACAGACATGCAATAATAGAAATAGAACGACACCAGATATACACAGAAGAAGTATAAGAAATATCAATAATGAGCCCAACTGAAATAGAATAAAAATATCTCTGAGTCTGAAATAAACCTCGAATATAACGAGCCAAATAATATCTCACTATGACTCTCAGTCTCTACAAAATAAAATACAAGTCTAGAGTCTGAAAATAACAACTAAAAGTGGAGTACTACATAGCTACAAATATAATAAATATCTAGATGGAATCTAAGAAAAATCCCATCAACCTACAACTCTCCATGCGCCGGACTCGCTGCCTGAAATGGGGGAAAACAACGAGCATCAAAGCGCTAGCGAGATCATCTCCACCGCTCCCCAGGGGAAGGGGTAGGAGTATATAAGAAAATAGAGTCAGTACATATAAGTATGAAATCATTCATATAACTCTAACTGGAGGTTAGCACTTAGGAAATCACAACACGAGAGTTAGTACGTCGAGC